TGAAACCACTGAGCTAAATCCCGAGCTCATAAGTCATTACAATTTTTGACCAAAATGTATTTGTAATGTTTTGGATGGGAATTCCAGAGTGTTATTTGCCTCGCTTTAGGTTCTCTTTTGCTGCTTCCGGTGTTTGATTTATTTTCTGTTTCCCATTTTCTTATGTTTGAACTCTGAGCCTGAGTTAAAAAATAAAGATTATTCTGTATCACTTTGGCTTAATTGAAGCTCTCCTCTCTTTTGCTTATTTTCCCCCTCATTAATGGACATGAGGCAGGAAAACAGTTTGACAGTTGAAGAGCTGCATTTTTGATTGAGACTGGTTTCTTATGCTTGTATTTGTCATGTTAAAATGATAATACTAGTTTTTTTTGGAGTTCTAACTCTTCGATGTTAGGGGTGAATTTATGTGTTCTTAAAGTAACAAAGTGTTATTTAAGTCTTAGATGTCTTTGTTATTGTAACTTTTGGTAGAAATTCAGTATTTTAAGAAACTACATGTAGAACTGATCTAAGTCGTACAAAATAGTAATTTGTCATGGCACTAAATAGATGTGGAGATAATTATAAAGCAAAAATTTAAAAATTTGCTATAGACAGAGTCGATACATTGTAGCAAAAATAGAAGTACAGAACAAGCAAAAATAAGGAAAAATATTCCTGCTACCTAGGTATCATTACTTTTAGTAACTTAATTTGTAACCCTTTTGTCTATATGTGTCCATATGGTCTCATATATATACTGTGTATATATTATGTGGTCCTGAGGATCAATCTCAGTTTGCACTGAGTTACACCGTTAGCCCTTTTTAAATTTTTTATTTTGAGACAAGTTCTTGTTAAGTTGCCCAGGCTAGGCACAAACTTGGAATCCTCTTGCGTCAGCCTCCTAGAGTGCTGGGCTTACAGGTATGTAACACCATACCTGGCAGAAACTTTTAACTTTTTGTGACTCAAGGGCAGCCACTCATTTCCCCCTCTTAAAAAAATATGACTTGTTGAAGAGAGATTAGGTCATGTCTTACAGACCTTTTGATTAATCCAGTTCACTCTCTTACAGTGTCATTTAGCCTGTTCTTTATGTATTTCCTATACATTAAAATTGTTAATCTAAAGGCTTTTTGAATTTGCTAAAGATACTTGACTATCATAGATGATGCTTTATCCTTTATATTGCATTACTTCAAAAGTTATGTGCTTTCTGCTTGACTCTTGGTGAGTCTAAGACTGGTTGCAGAAATTGTGCAATGACAGTCTTTTCTACTGTTTTATTTGTCTCTGTATATTAGGAAGTATTTTGGGTTTTTTTGGGTTTTTTTAGTACTGGGGATCGAACTCGGGACCTTGCGCTTGCAAGGCAGGCGCCAGAACCACTGAGCTAAATCCCAGGCCCCTGTATTAGGAAGTATTTTGTATGGTGTTTTGACCCTATTGGAAAGCTTAGTTCCTCATCAACCTTGTGCCTGTTGGTTTAACATTATTTATTCATCTTTGCCTAAATTGGTAATTTCATTAGGGCTTGCAAAACATGACTTTTCTGTTTTTAATCTTTTATATTTACTAATTGTTTTCTCTTCAGTCCCCCTCCTTTACCAATTTTAAAGTGAAGAATTTCTGATAGCCACTGAAAGGTGATAAATGAAAAGGATTTTTGTTGTTTAACTTTTTCTGTTTTGAGTATCTTATAGATTCAGGGACTTTAATTCAGTCTGTTTTAACTTAACCATCATTCAAGTTTTTCTTTGTTGCTCAAATTATCACATCTAGTCATTGAGACTTCTTTATGCCAGCTCCTCTGTCCATTGCTAGAACATTAATTCCTGTAAGCCTTCCTTGCTCACTGCCACAGAAGCTATCCTAGGCTCACCTGTGCCTCCCTGCCCCAGATCTGGCATCAACTCTTTCTAAAGAGGTTTGGTACCTTTAATGTATTATGACATTAGAGGCAAAAATCTGAGTTCTAGGAGTGTTAACTGCTGCTTGTGTGACACTGCTTATAGGCCATTTCAGTGAAAAGACCCAGAAAACACAAGTATTTATAAACATGAATCATTGATTTTTTTAAATTTCTAGATTTTAAAGTATCTCATACTAATAATCATGGGTCTTAAAACCATTAGCATAATTTCATGGCTTTTCATATACTATATAAAGTTTGAAGATACCAGTAATACTACTAAAAAGAGTAAAACTATCAAAAATAGATTGAAATTACTTTATAGTTTTTGTTTTTAGAATACTTTATACCAAGAAATACAGAAGTGCAGCGTCTAGCTTTAAAATAAATTCTTTCTCCTGATTGTTGTTAACCAAATTTGTTTCTCTTTTCAATGTATGGGATTTAAAAGTTTTAATTAGTTTTATTTATTTTTTTTGGTGCTGGGGATCGAACTCAGGACCTTGTGCTTATGAGGCAGGCACCTGCACCGCTGAGCTAAATCCCCGGCCCATTAGTTCTTATTTTTTGAGGTGCTGGAAAATGAACCAACTGTATCACTGAGCCGCAACCCCAAACCTCATATGGATTTTTTTTTTTAATGCCTTTTTTGAAATTTTAAATGATTCAGAGGTTAAAATTTGGGATGGGGGTATAACTCAGTGTTCTTTGTTAGCATGCTCACTGGCCTGATTTTAATTCCCAGAACCCCTACTTTCAACAAACACTCATGCAAACCACACAAAAGAAACACGTCAACATTATCCAGGCCTGGGGATGTAGCTTAGTGGTGCCATGCCTGCCCTGGTAAGCACAAGGTCCTAAGGTAGATTCCCAGTATCAAAAACAAATAAATAAAAAAAACCATTGTCCAAAAATATACATAGCAGTCTTGCTTCCACTTGTTCCTCTTATAGTTTTCCCCTTTCCATTCTATTTTTTCTTTTTAAAAAATTTTTGTTTTGTTTCGTTTTTTGTTTTTTGAGACAGGGTCTTGCTATGTAGTTCAGGCTGGCCTCAGACTCACTGTGATCCTCCTGCCTCAGCCTACCCAAGTGCTGGGATTACAGGTGTGTGCCATCACACTCGACTTCCATTCTCTGTAAAGCATCCATTTTTGTTCCTCATTTATGATGTAGGAGTGTGTGTGTGTGTGTGTGTGTGTGTGTGTGTGTGTGTAGGATGTTCAATTTCCATTAAATATATGTATATTCTTTCATCCATCCCCGTGCAAAAGGTAAATATTTTTTTCTGGTACTGAGGATCGAACTCAGGACCTTGTGCTTGTGAGGCAAGGGTAGTGCCTCTGAGCTAAATCCTCGGCCCAACAAAAGGTGTATTTTTGATGTACCCTGTTGTGTAGTTTTTTCTTAAAATATTCTGTTGATTTCTCCAGTCACTACATAGTTATCTTACAGAAGAACATGTAATGCAATGCACAATTAACCCTTTCTTAACATAAAAATAAGAGCTTTCTGTAATTTTGTAAATTACTTTTGGATTGAAAATAATACTGAGGGCTGAGGATATAGCTCAGTAGAGTGCTTACCTAATACGTGCTAGGCCCTAGATTTGATGTCCAGCAACGTTTAAAAAAAAAAAAAGAAAAAATGTTGAAATTAATTCAATAATGAGTGCTGCAAAGAGAAAAAGAAAAATACTTAGGAAAAGGCAATGAATCAAGTGAATTTTGGATTGCATTTGGAAGGTAATGGATCCTGAAATAGATGAGCAGAAATCTTTTGTGATGGTTTTTTAACGGAGGCTTTAGGCAAATTAGCCTTTGGTGGTATAAAATTTTTTTTTCAGAAAAATCATGAGATTGGAGAGGATTGATGAGTTCAAGGGAGAATGAGAGCTGGTGTGTTAGGTGAAAATCACAGAAATGTAAAGCTGAGTGTGGTGATGCATGCCTGTAATCTCAGCACTGAGGAGGCTGAAGCAGGAGGATTACCGAAAATTTGATGCCAGCCTGAACTATATAGCAAACCCCAGTCTCAAAAAACAAAAACACACACAAAAAGAATCAGAAATGTAGATTATGTAGATTGTTGGTGATTTTTATAGTTAGTTGGGAATAAATTCTTGGTAGAGGTTTTTTGTTTTTTGTACCAGGGATTGAACTCCGGACCTTGTACTTGCTGGACAGCTGTGACACCACTGAGCTGAATTCCTGGCCCCTTGGTACAGGTTTTTATGCCAGCTATAATAGCATAATTTGATATAATAGGAATGCATATAATATTGACTGCATTTATTAAAAGTGAGAATAACAGTGTTTCAATCTCAGTTCAGTATTTTATCTAGTAGTCATAGATAGCAAGGGCTAGAAGAGACTTTAGATGTTACATCTTTGAATCTAATCTTGTAAAATGGGAAAATGAGGTCTAGAAAGGTTTAAGTGATTTGTCCAAATTATACAACTAGTTAGAGGTATAGCCTCCTTCTTTAATCTTAACAAACTCTTGGGCTCAAGTGATCTTCCCAAATGTTGGGGCTACACGTGTCTACTGTGGTATTATCACGCCCAGCTACTATGGTACTTTGAATGTGGAAAACTAGAAGTTGTATGGTTATGTCTTTAAGAGCAGAGTTTTTTTGGTTTGTTTTGATTTTTTGTTTTTGTCTCTACATACATTAGTTGTGATTTACAAAGTCTGAGGTTTTTGTTTTTCTTGCATACTTAAATCCTGAAATATAGAAATTACCTTTAACTTTAGGTGTGTTTTTGTTTTTGTACTGGGCATTGAACTCGGGACCTTGCACTTGTGAGGCAAGCAGTGGAACCACTGAGCTAAATCCCCAGCCCCACTTTAGGTGCATTTTTAATGTACAAAATAGAGGGGCTTAAAGATTTGTTGTTGTTGTAAAATTGTTTTGAAAGTCTTTTGGAATTACTGTGTTTACCATTATTTAATTAGACATGCTAGATTATAGATAAGTATATTGACAGTCTTTTATAACTAGCTATAATGGTGAAAGCTTACTGTTAACTAATGTTTTAAAATGTGTGCATATTTGCATCATTGCATATTTCAGCTGTTTCCTTAACTTAAATATATAGATATTTATCCAAACATTATTGCTATGGGATTTCCTGCAGAAAGACTTGAAGGCGTATACAGGAACAATATTGATGATGTAGTAAGGTAAGAACTCTTGATTTTCTATTTCAAATATTGATGCATATTTATATTTATATTGTATTTTCATTTAGAAAATATTTCTAAAACAGAAAAAGATACACACTGTGATGTAGACTTTATTTTGTTATGATAGTGCTCTGTAACTCCTTTTTAATATAGTGTACCTTGTAGACCTCAGTGGGATACAGCTCATTTGATAAGAACTGACTTTGTACATGCCCAAATTCTTAGGTGACTTTTTGAATTCCATAAGATAACTCTCATTAGATTAATGTCTAGATTCCAGTACAATGTGATTTTTGTCTTTTATTTTACATTTGGAGATTAGGCTTCAAATCTTGTGATAATTTTTTTAAGTTAAACTTATTATTCACATTGAGCTATGTATGACCTATACCATGTATTTTTTGTAGAGCAGTTTTTAGTGAAATATATGTGTACCAAGTGCCCAAGATTATTTGGTACAATGACTATAGAACATAAAGGAGTTACTAGACATAACAAAGTTGAAATCCTTTTTTATAATTTTGGATAATTTTATAAGTGTAATGTTCATTTAGTTCAGAATAGTCTCTGAAGGCCCACTTAAGTATTACCTTTAAAATACATTTATGACCTAAGAATACATGGAAATTTGTGTCTACTGTGCAAATAGTCTTAATATATCTCATTTCAGAACAAAAATATATATGCCTGAACTGTAATGACTTTGAAAGTTAAAATTATGGAATGTTTTCATTGTTGTTTTTCATAAGTGTCTTTCTTGAGACTTCTAATTTAAATATTTGGTGATGATGAGAATTGGATTTTGTAACGGGTGGGAAAACACTAATTTACAAAGCATTATGCTGATGTGGAATCTTTTATAAATAGGTGTGTAAGTATATGACTATTTTTATTCTTTTATGAGCTAGCTGTAAATTTATCTAAGTGGTTTTTAGCAACTTGCTTTGAACCATAATATAGTTATATTTTTGTAGTATTGAGTTGTGTTCAATTGAATTTTTGTGATGTTTATATTATACTTAGAATTAAATTTCAGTATCTGCAAAAAGTTCCCCTTCTGCCTGCCTTGTAGTTTCGATTAAAATTATGGTGGAGTTCTAGAGGTACTGTTTAAGAACTTGAAAATAGGGAAATGGATTTGCCTTCTCAAGATAGGTAGGTCACAGTGGAGGGATACTTAGTATTGCAGGCCCATCCATGGGAGCAGCAACTTGATATAGCCCAGCCAGTGATAACACATCTGAAAAAAAAATACAGAAGGCCATAGAAAAAAAGAATAAGGAAGGTAAATTTTGAATTAAGAGAGATGGTGAATCTGAGAGATGAGCAGTACTGTAGAGTCATCAGACATGTATCCCTCTTCTGTGATGCCAAAATATTTGCAGGCCTCTCTATAGCCTGTATGTAATACCTCACAAGTTGCTTTACTTCACATTACTATGATTATATGAAGTTCAAGCAAGCAGATCGCTAACACAGTTAATACTGAAAAAAGTGTATAATAGGCTGGGTGTGATGGTGGATGTCTGTAATCCCAGCACTCTGTGGGGCTGATACAGTAGGATTGTAAATTCCAGCCCAGCCTGGGCAATTTAACAATTTAGTGAGAGCCTGTCTCAAAAGAAAAAAACCAGAAATAACCTGGGGATGTAGCTTAGTGCAGAGGCCATTGGTTCAGTCCTCAGGACCACCAAAACAAAACAAAACATAAACGAAACTGTTTGCCCTCTATGGGCAAGTTTCTGATCATTATAAGGTTATCCTTGTGAGAAATCAATCTGGCATGCTAATTTTTACATTAGTCTCTCTGAGTGTGAATAAGTCACTGTGGATTTACACTTTCAATTTGTAATCAGTAAACAAGGCTAAAATTTATTGTCTAGCTTTAACCTATCTAGTTTGTTTTATTCAGGCTTACGTTTTTTTCAGATGTTTTTCCTAAAAATAGTTTTGTGTTTGGATTGTTAATTTAGTGAGTGGCTTTTATAGCCAACTGATCTTGCCACACATTATAGTAATAATAGCCTATCAACATGAAGCATTAACAGGTGAATATAATATTTATGTTGTCTTTGTTTTATTTTGTTGTCTTTTTTTTGTCATTGGTAATGATGGTTAAATGACAGTAAGGTATTGATAGTTTCTGTTGCCTCATCCTTTCCCCTTCTCTTAAGGAAAAAGATGAACAGTGACCAGGAAGGAAGGTACAGTTTTTCCTATAAAGTAAAATGAATAAAAAAATTTCTAAGTAACTTGCCTATCAGCGTTGACCTCTTTAAGGGAGTTGTTGTGTCCATTATCTGATTGACTGATTTTCTTGATTGTTTTACAGTACATTGAGGAAATTAGTAATAATCACTAATGATTCCGTTTTTGGTTCAAAAGAGATAATGTCTCTGTAGAAATGTTTTATTTTTGTATACCTTTGCTCCTTTTTGTTAACAAAATCATTTAAGTTGGAGCTTTCTTTGCCTTCTCTAGTCTGGGAAGTCCAAAGAATATTTAAAATTATCTGTTTTTTCTGCCATATTTTTCCTGTGATTTTTTTTTTTTTTTCAAACAGGAAATATTATGGAGAGTTCAGCCTTTGTTGTACTATATTATTGTTTTGAGTAAAATAAACTTAAATTGCAAATATCTTAAAGCTTAAATTATCTGGTAGTGTTTAACTGATTTAGAGGCATAGTTTGTTATGACAAAATGCAATTTTGTGTTTAAGGTAGACAGTGTACTTTTGAGACAGATATTTAAATTCTTCTTTTGAGATTACATCCTAAGATCAAGAATCAATATAAAAAAATAAAGGAGAAAAGTGAACCAAGTTGAAGTTTTTACTACCTTAACTATTTTGCTTAGTAAGCAATCAGAAGTCACATAGCAGGACATTGAAGGGAAGTTAAAAAAAGCTAACTCTCCCAAGTGTGTTTTTTTGTCTTAACTACTACCTTTTTTCCTGCCTATTTCTTGCACTAAGTTTTTTGCCCCAACCTGGTGGTACTAAGGAATTGTTTTTTGATGTGTATGTTAATCTTGTTCCTGAAGCTAATATTGAAGTTATCTAATTTATTTTATCTGGTATAAATCTAAGCACTATTTAACAAATTGGTGCTTCCGGTGTTTAAGCGGTGTGTTTGAGAACTATCTTGTCCCTAATAAATCAGGAAAATGTGGATTTAATAGAGGTAAACTGGTTTTCTTATTGCAGAACCTTTACCATGTCTGTCACACAGTGAGATTCTAGTAGGCCACTTTTTTCCCTCTTTCCCCCTGCGTCCTTTTTTTTCTTCTTTGTAGTACATGAAATATCTTTCTAAACAATGTTTCATGGGGCATAATTTGGGAAATGTTGAAAATGAAAGAAAACATGCGTATAAAAATATTTTCTTGTCAGAATCTGTAGGAAACGATTTGCTTCCTCTTTTATTGGTATTCCTCTTTTATAAGTTTTCGGTGGAGAGATTCCTGTAGTTATAAGGAAATGCTTAGATCTTGGTCTTCTGACATGGAATGATTTTTAAAAACATCCATCGTCTCATAGATGCACATTTCTTTACTCATATATAAGCACCTGTATTATGATTCTAGAGCCCATGTTCTTCCTTACATGCTGTTACATGCAATTTTTTTCTGAAGAAACTTTTCAAATATTCTCTCTTAATTATCTCTTAATCTCAGTCAGCCTTAATTATATATTAATTTTCAGTAAGAATGAGATGTTTGTTTCCCTGACATCAGAATTATTGGTTATTCAGTTTTTAAAAAAGGAATTTAAGAGTTCAGAAGCAGCTGGGTATGGTGGCTCATGCCTGTAATACCAGCACTCAGGAGGCTGAGGCAGGAGGATCACTGCAAGTTCCAGGCCAGCTTTCACTACATAGTGAATTTAGGGCCAGTCTGAACTGCATAGCAAGACATTGTCTCCAAAAAAAAAAAGTTCAGAGGCAAACTTCAGCCTCATTACTTACCGTCTGTGGTACTGGAAGATGTTAATGTCTTTCAAAAATCATTTGTGAAACAGGGATAGATTTACTGTAGAGGTTTAATATGATGTCACATGTAAACTGCTTATACAATGTTTACTTGTGTAGTAATATGTAAACAAATGCCCAAAATGTTACCTACTATTAAAATACCAAAAATAGGTTGGTGTCCATACCACAGCTGTTATGTAGTGAGCCTGAAATTGAGTCCAGGTCATTTAGATTCCAAACTTATTTCAACTATATTATCTTGTGTATCAGAGGACAAAAACTAGAAACTTCTTGGGCCAGTCTAGCCCATTGATCTCCACAGTCCACACACTGTTTAAAATTGGAACTTGTTGCATACATGCATGCATTTATATGTATATATGTTTTTTTTGAGACAGTGTCTTGCCACGTAGTCCAGGCTGCCCTTGAACTCATTATATAGCTTATGCTGCCCTTGAACTCGCAGTGACCCTCCTGCCTCAGCCTCCTGTGTGCTGAGATTACAGACTTGAGCCACTACGCCTGGCCATTGCTTATATTTAAATATCGGGAAACCTCATGTAAAAAGTTGTATTTCTGGTTGCTTTAAAAAAGTTGATGGATATGAGTTCATATCCCTATGTAACAAAAATCGAATAGAGTTGTGTAATTTCTTATCTGTCTCTGTCATTGAACAGATTACTGTATTAGGTACTATTTCTCATCTTCTCTTCTGCTTGGTTTGAGTCTGTGTAAGTTTATAGATCAGTAAATCTATATGTAAGTTTTTGCTTTATTAATGCATGTATTGCTTGCTTTAGGTACTCAGTATTATAGAATGTTGTATATGAGTTGTGTCATTTAAAATGTTGTATAGGATCATTGTAGAAATCTCTCCAGTTAATGGTTTTATAAGGAGAGAATAAAGGGGAGGAGATTATCAAAGAAATAATACTAGGACATTTTTTAAAAAGAATGCAAGTCTCCAAATTGAAAGTTTCTACACAGTGCCAAGCAAGATAAATGGGGGGAAAAACCCCAAAAGCAAAAAGACCAGCCCATGCATGGCATCTAACTCATTGGTAGTAAAATTTAAAAATAATTGATAGAATTCTGCCTTAAACATCTTGCCTTCAGCTTAGAAGTCTATCTATATCCAGCCCTGCCATCAACTATGGAGAAAACTTCATGGATTCAAAAAAATGTATTCATGAAAAACATTTCCTAGGGGATTACTACTAGATGTGCTGCAACAGAATAAGAGAGTAAACTAAGAAAGAAAAAAATACAACCTTGCCAGGATTTATTATTGCTGATTTCTTGATGGTAGCCATTCTTTCTGGAATGAGATATAATCTCAGTGTTGTTTTAATTTGCATTTCTGGAATGACCAGTGATGTTGAGCATTTTTTCATATATTTATTGGCTGTTTCTATTTCTTCATTTGGGAAATGTCTGTTCATTTCAGTCGCCTGTTTTTGGATTGGGTCTACAAATGTGGGAGAAGGGGTGTCATATTTTTGAGTTCTTTATATATTCTAGATGTTAGTCCTCTGTCTGAAGACTAGCTGGTAAAAATTTTTTCCCATTCTGTGGGTTGTCTGTTCCCTGTGTTGGTGGTTTCTTTTGGTGTGCAAAAGCTTTTTAATTTGATTTAATCCCAGTTGTTGATTCTTTGTAATGTGTAATTGGGGTTTTGTTCATAAAGTCTTTGCCTACACTTATGTCTTCAAGAGATTTACCTATTCTATCTTCCAGCAGATTGTTTCTGTTTTAATATTTAGATCTTTGATCCATTTCAATTTTAGTTTAGTGCATGGTGAGATATGGGTCTAGGTTCAATTATCAGCACATGGAAAGGCTGTCTTTCTTCCAATGAAGGTGTTTGGCCTCTTTGTCAAAGATAAAGTGACTTAGTGTGTTTGGAGTTGTTCCTGTATCTTCTAATCTGTTCCATTGATCCTTGGGTCTGTTTTTTTGCTAGTACCACACTGTTTTCATTATGGTGGCCTTTTAGTATAACTTCAGATCAGGGATTGTGATGCTCCTTGCCTTGCCCTTGATGCCCAGAATTGACAGACACACTGAAAACTACAGTACTGTGAAAAAGGAGATCAAAGAGGCTATCAGAAAATGGAAAGATATCCCCTGTTCTTGGATAGGAACAAATGTAGTGAAAATGGCCACACTTCCAAAACTGTCATACAGATTTAATGCAGTCCTAATCAAAATACCAATAGCATACCTCACATAACTAGTCAAAACAGTCCTAAAATTTATATGGAACCAGAAGAGACCTAGAAGAATAATATTTAGAAACATTGAATTAAGTCGGGAAATACAATTAGAATAGTTGCCAGTGGTTGCCTGTGTAGAGAAGGGTTTGAGTATGAATAGGCCAGAGATGTGTAAATTTTTATGTGATAATAATGTATTTATATATAAAAAGGATTAAAATTTACCATTTAACCATTTTCAAGAGTACAGTTCAGTGGCACTATGTGCATTCTTGTTATACAACTATCACCACTATCGGTCTCTAGAGTTTTTTTTGTTTTTTTGTTCTTTTGTTGTTTGGGTTTTTTTTTTTTGAGTCAGGGTTTCACTATGTAGTTCAGGCTGATCTTGAACTCACTATGTAGCCCAGGCTGGCCTCAAACTCACGGCAAACCTCCTGCCTCAGCCTCCCAAGTGCTGGGCCTACAGGCATGTGCCACCACACCTGGGCCTTCTCTAGGAGTTTTAAATTATCCCATACTGAAACACCAAGGTCATTAAATAACTACCCTTTTTTATCCTGTAAGCCACTGGTAACTGTTGTTCTGCTTTCTGTCTGTATGCATTTTAGTATGTTAGGTACCTCCTAGAGGTGTGATCAAAAATAGTGAATGTTTAAATAAAAAAAATTACTACAGTAAAAGACACATTGCCATTAATCCCCCTCAAAATACTCCCCCTTGCTTCAAACACCTTGTCCCACTATTCTTACCACTTCCTGAAGCAATTCTGTAGTCCTCTTTCACAAGTGTTTTTACAAGTTGTGATAAAAAATACAGTGAATGTTGCTGCTAAATATCATCCAGTGGAAAGGCAGGTTCATAAAAGCATTATGGCATGTCTCATCCATCTTACTGAATCTGGCCCTATGTCACTTTCCATTCTTCCTCAAAGTCAAAATGATCATGAAAGGTAAATGTTTTTAATCAATTTAGGACATCAGTGCAGCATGACAGTATACCTAAATGCACACACTA